GACAGCAGTGAGCTTGTTTTTTTTTTTTCTTTTTGGTTATGTGTTACTCAGTGTTCTAAGCACTTTTCATACATTAACGCACTTAACTACATAATAGTAGTACAAGTAGGTTTTATTATCATGCCCAGTTTTCAGATGAGGGGTGTGAGCACCCTTAAGAGTATAAGTCATTTCCCCAGAGCCACACAGCTAGGAAGAGATGGAGCTGGGGTTTCACCCAGATACTCTGGCTCTAGAGTCCCTCATCTTAACCATATTGATTGCCACTCCCTACAGCCTCGGAAACCCAAGAAGTGTCACTATGAGTCGGATCCAACTGGATGGCAGTGTGTTTGGTTTGGGTTTGGTTGAATAGCCATTAAAAAAGAAGTCCTGCTGGTACAGTGTTTAAAGTGCTTGGCTGCTCACTGAAAGGTCAGCAGTTTGAACCCACCAGCTGCTTTACAGGGGAGAAAGATGAGCAATCTGCTTCTGTAAAGATCACAGCTTTAGAAACCTATGCAGCAGTTCTACTCTGTCCTACTGGGTCACTGGGAGTCACAATCAATTCCGCGGCAGTACATTTGGTTTCGGTTTTGAATAGCCATTGAGGAGCTCTGGTTGTGCAGCGGTTAAAGTGCTTGGCTGCTAACTGAAAGGTCAGTGGTTCAAATCCACAGCAGCCGCTCTGTAGGAGAAAGGTGTGGCAATCGACTTCCCTAAAGATTGCTGTTGTTTGCCGTGGAGTTGATTCTAGCTCACACCAACCCCGTGTGACAGAGAAAAACTGCCCCATAGGGTCTCCAGGGCTGTGATCTTTACGGAAGCAGACTGCCATCTCTTTCTCCCACAGAGCACAGCTGGTGGGTGCAGACTGCTGACCTTTCTGTTAGCAGTTGAGCACTTTAACCACTGTGCTACCAGAGCGCTTTTCTATAAAGATTACAGCCTTGGAAACCCTGTGGGGCAGTTCTACTCTGTCCTATGGGGTCTATGAGTAGAAATCAAGCAAGGGAGCAGGTTTGGCTTTTTTTGGTTAAGAGCCATTAACCTGTCAATAGGAATTTACACTGACTGACAAATAGCCCTGAGCGCCTGAAAGCATGAGGGAGTTTATAATTGTGACATTAAGACATCAGTGTGATAACCTTACTTGTGTGACTTTCAGGGGAAGCCGCTGCTGCAAGAGACTCTGAAATCACCTTCATTAAAAAGATAACCTGCAATAACGCTGACCTAAAGAAAGGAAGTCGGTATTTAATTATGGGGAAAGAAGCCCTCCAGATAAAGCACAATTTCAGTTTCAAGTAAGTCCCCAATAGTTTTGAATCTCTGATTTTCCCTCCAAAACTTACCCTATTTCATTCCTAAATACCATGTTTCCTATGTGCCCTGCTCGCAACCAACAAACTATTACGAGTATAAATGAAACAATGAGTTCGAAACAAAGAACAGTTTAAAACTATAATATAACCATCAGAATCGTCAGAACAGCTGAGGGCTCAGCTGACTGATAAACGAGCCAAGGGACTGAATCTGATGACACATCTGAGAGCGCTCATCTGACCGCCCCAGCCACCACCCCTCCCCCCTCAGTTCTCAGACGGTTCTGTTTTTTTAAAAAAAGAAAATATTTAAATAAACATTTATTATCTTCTTTTGAAAAATAGACATTATAATAGACGTCATTCCTCTTCTAACAATAAGAGTCCCAAGCAACTTCACTATCCCTCAGGCGTTTGTGAACCCTCCCTGGGAGATGCTGGACCACAGGAGTTTGGCTGGCCACCTGGTCCATGGGTACCTGAACAGGCATGGGCTCTCACAAAGGAAATCAAAGATTGCTTTACTTTATTTGTGGCATAATCACAAATGCTTTATTTTTACTCCTTTCTCGGCAGGTATATCTACCCTTTAGATTCCTTGACCTGGATTGAATACTGGCCTACAAATGTGACATGTCCATCGTGTGAAGCATTTTCAGCTAATTTACAAGAGTTTGCTGACGACATCTTTTTAAATGGCTGTGAAAATGCCTGAAGAAGTTCAATTGCATACACTTTGCACTGTAGACTCCTGTCGTTGAATTGTTCAAGTGTCTGTTGTTTTTCCTGTTGGTTTTCTTTTTTTTTTTTCTTTTTTTAAACATTCACAGCTGGTCTTATTTGGAAAGCTCACTTTACTTAGAATTAGAGGCACTTGCTTTTATTAAAGAACAATTTTAAGAGCTGTTACTTTCTGAAATAACATGGCCTTGGGGGACATGTAGACAGATACTCCAGGGTTATTGGACACCAGAAGCAATGAATTGGAACCTCTCCTAAAACCAACCACCCAGGAATGTTTGCAGGGGCCAAAAGAATAGGCCATTGACATGTAGTATCTTACAAAAACATGGCCTTTCCTTGAAAGAAAATACCAAAGAATAGAAAGCTGATCGTTAAAGCCTGACTTTGCTTTCAAAATGTGTTTAAAAGCATGTTATTTTATGCTAGATCAGCTTCAACAACGCAAAGACAGGCCAATGGAGAGACGTGGAGAGAGGCTGCAATAAAGAACCTTAACCCTGAGAAAGCCCGACCTCAGAGTCCTCAGCAAACTGAGAAGGTGGGAGTGCGTCTTCCTGCCTTGCTTCTCTCCTCCTACTGCCCTCCCGACTCACGACGACAACAACAACAACAACTGCCCTCCAGACTCACGACGACGGGAGCGCCTCTTCTCCTTTTCTCTCCTCCCAACGTATATGCATTTCCTCAGGAATTTTGCTCTTTCCAGTAATTGCTACAATGGAAGGCGGGACAACCTGGTGAAAAAACACTAAATGGAATTAGGAGAGCTTGTTCTAGACTTAATCAGGTTTTCTCTTTGAGCCTCAGCTTGAGCTTTGTAAACGAGGATTTATAACAGGAAATTAATTTTTAAGTGGCATTTTAGATCTCACAAAGGAGTTCTCACATATTATTCCCATTTAATGTCTCAAGAATCTCACCAGGTACAAGAATTGCTATCCCCATTCTGTGGATGAAGAAATTGATACTCAGAAAGAGGAAGTAATTTTCCCAGCCTAGTCAGGGCCAGAGTTGGAGAGCAAACCTCAAGGCTCGCTCTCAATCAGGACACATCCCTGTTTCCACATCTCTACACTGTCACGTTGCTTTCCAGGTTTAATTGTCTAAGACTATGAAGCAGGATGAGCAGGAGTTTCGCAGACATTGTTCAACCAGCACCACTGAAATAACGCAAAGGGACATGATAATAAACTCTGGATGTAATGGTGGCAGTGACTGAAATGCAGACCCTTCTGAAAAAACTGACAGGAGAAAAAGAAAAAAAAAAATCTGCATTTTGCCAGTTAGGTAGAACCACACATGGCTTTTCGGCGTGCCTCTGAAGAAACACCAACGCTTTCCCCTTCCAGGTACTAAAGCACATATATATATCTATGTCAAAGCTTACATTGTAGACTCCTTTGGCAAAAACAACCAATGTGCCCAACATATTTGAATTGCAGGGCCTCCCCCTAAGCAGGCTTGACACTATCTCCTGTCATCTTCTTGCTAAACTCAGGGTGGAGGAACCAGAAAACTGCTTTGGAGGCACCAGGGTCTCTGAAATTTGTTGCATCTCCCTTAGCCCTGTGGCAAAAAGTACCTAGTTCCCAAGTCGGGCTGCAGTAGCTTAATTAGCCAGTAATGCACCTGAACTTTCAGACATCACAGCAGGCTTTTGTGAGTTCAACACAACGCAACACACTGCCGTTAAGTCAGATCCAACTCATAGTGACCCCTCTTTGGGTTTCCAAGGTGGTATCACTATGGAAGCAGATTGCCCAGTCTTCCTACTGAGGAGTGGCTGGTGGGTCTGAACCACCAGCCTTCTGGTTAGCAATCAAATGCCTTAGGAACTATGCCACCAGAGCTCCCTTTTGTGAGTTAGCCTGGCATTATTTAAAAAATCAGCCAGCTCCTCCTCAGCCAACCCTTGTATACTCATATGTCACTTCCTTAGTGAGGTTTTAGTGACCCCCTCAAGCCAGGCTGGGGCCCCTACTCAACCCTCCCTTTGCACCCTATACTTTTCTTCCCAGGCTCTTGTGCACTTGCCATTATTTCCATAGCCATTTGTAATTATTTGTTTACTGTGCAGCTTCCTGATTATGCTGTAAGCTGCATGTGGACAAGGTCTGGCTCTGTCCTATTCACCACTATCTCCTATGCCTGGCACATTACACAAAAAAACAACTCACTCAGTAAATGTTTGCGGACTGACTTATACAAAGAGTGTGAGGAATCACAAGACCCAAACTCTAGTGTTGGCTTTGCCTCTAATTGGCAGTGATTTCAGACAAGCCCCTTAATCTCCTTGATAGCCTGTAAAAACAGAGGAGATGAACATGTTAATGTCTCTTTCATCCAAAGCTGTAAGATTATATCTTGTGATCTTGTGATGTGAAACAAAACAAAACCAAATGACATGGACACTTCCAAATGTTGTGTGACGTATTTCTGTCTGTGTTAGGTGGCTCAGAAAAGAGAGCCATCTGTGTGAACTGAGAAGCTGCCGAGGCTTCCCGGAGAAGGGCTTGCGGAATCTGGGCAGGAGAGGGGCAGAGGGGCCTTTCTGGTTGAGGAGAAAGGCATCGGCGAAGCTTCTACTGCATTTTGCCGGTTAGGGAGATAAACAAGTCGATTTTAGGGGGTACAGATAAACATGATTTATTTCAAGGGCTACGTGTTTACTTTAACGTGCGCTAGAAAAAAACATAACTAAAACCTGAAGGTGATGATACAGAATTTTCTGCTAAAATTTAAATAAACTTAAGTTCAAAAGTAAGTCTATTTAAGGAAAAAATTCAGTAAATAAAAGTATTTATTCACCTTAGGGCAAAAATCATGAGGTTGGCATGCAAACAATTAAAGTTTAGAAAACTCTGGCTTAAGGGAAAATGTGGAGTTGATTGTGTGTGTCACGCACAAAGTGAGGAGGCTAGCCTCACTCCTCATTTCTTAGTGAGAGACCCTCAGCCAAACTCACCTTCAATCTCTGCCATCGCCAACTTATTCAGCAACATTTAACAATTAAGTACTGATTGGTAACTTGCGGCAAGCACAATTCAAAGTGCTTCACACCTAGATCCTGTACCTAGAACTTAGATTCCAACTGGAGGAAACACACAATATACAGTAAAGACAATGATTAGGCAATTGGTCTTGGATGTTAGAAAGTGATAAGAACAGTTGTTATTGTTGTTATGTGCCAAGTCAGACTCAACTCATAGGAGGTATCACTACGGAAGTAGATTGCCCAACCTTCCTTCCCAGGAGTGGCTGGTGGGTTTGAACCACCAGCCTTCTGGTTAACAGTGAGGTGCTTTAGGCACTATGCTACCAGAGCCCCTGATAAGACCTGTGAGGGAAAGAAAACATAAAGCAGGATAAGGGAGATTAGAGGTAGTGAGGGGAGAGGTTGCTATTTCAAATAAACAGGTCAGGGTGGCTTTCTCTGAGAGGGTGAGAGTTGAGCAAAAATTCAAAGGATGTGGAAGAGTTAGCGATGTGGTTTATGGGGAGCAAAAGGAATATCTAGTTGCTCAAGCCCTAAAGCAGAAGCACACCTGATATTTTACAAGAACAAGAAGCCCAGTGTAACAGATACAGAGTGACCAAAGGGAAAGGTAGGTAAAGATGAAGCCGGAGAGCTCATAAAGACCAAGCAGAGTATGCTGGCCACAGAAGGGGCCTCGGCTTTACCTCAAAGGGAAATGGAGCCATTGCAGAGATCTAAACAGAGACGTGACATGGTCCATCTTCCTGTTTTAAATGGCCACTTTAACTGTTGTGTTGAGAATAAAGCAAGGATAGAAGCAGGGAGGCCAGTTATGTGGCTACTGCAGCAAGCTGGGAAGGTAGGATGGTATTGCAGGATGGGATGGTAGCAGTGGAAAGGTCGAAAAGTGCTTGTATAGTTTATAAGTAGATTCAACTAGATAATACTGCTAGGTTTGGAGTAAGTATGAGGGCGAGGAGTCAAGAATGACACCAAGATTTCTGTATTGAGCAACTGAAAGAATGGTGTTGCCATGGACTAAAACTGGGAAGGTACAGATGGAACAGACTGGAGGAAGTTCAATGTTAGGAGTCAGGAGTTCAGTCTCAGAAGAGCTCTACTAACCATTCAATTGGAGGAGTCGTGAAGGCAATTAGTTTACAGTTTGGGGAATCGAGAGAGATCTGGGGCAGAAACAGAAATTGGAGAGTCATCACAATATTAAAGGCATCAGACCTAAGCCATTATAATCACCACAGATGTGAATGTAGATAGAGGAGGGGGAAAAGAGAGGCCAAAGATAGACCCCTGGAGCACTCATGTTAAGTTGTCAGAGAGAAGAGGAGAAGCACAGCAGGGAGAGAAAGAGCATCCTTTCAGTTAGCAGGAAAATCAAGAGAGTGGGATGGCCTATGAGCCAAGTGAAAGAAAAGAGATTCAAAAGGAGGAAGAGTGATCAACTGTATCAAATGCTACTGAAATGAAAAGCAAGGTAGACTTGGCCACTGGTAACCTTCACCAAACAATTCAGGTGGACTAGTAAGAATGACTTGCTTGGAGTGGGTTTAAAAGTGAATGGAGGAGAAGATTTAGAGACAGGGAGTACGGACGACTCATTTAAGAAGTTTTGCTACAAAGGGGAGCAAAGAAATGGGATGAGGGAAGTTCCTTTCTTGGCTTTCTCATCTTCCTAAGTGGGAAATGGGAGGAAGTATTGGAGAGACAAGGAGAAAGGGAAAGGGATAAGATTCTTGTCTAGAAGAGAGGGAAAAAGAACAGCCAAGGGACCTGTAACACAATTGCCTCTCAGCATTAAGGGTCCTCTTCGGGTTTCGGGTCATGAATTTAAAGTGGGACTAGTCAACATGGATTGTGGGATTTTTCTCCAACCACCTTCAGATCCTTTTCAGAATCTGAGGAAAGTATGGACCTAGCAATGCCCTCCAGTCAACACAACCAGGAACATTGTAATTGAACAAAATTAGTTTATTGAC